ATCATCCTGCGGCCGGTTGCATTACCTTTCATGGCACGTCATCCTGGGGCCATTTTCCAACAAGATAATGCCAGGCCACATACCGCTCGCATATATCTGGACTGTCTCTGTGCGGTTGATACTCTTCCTTGGTCAGCAAGGTTACCAGACCTTTCACCAATCGAGCATGTCTGACTGCTTAGCAGAATGTGTCGCACGATGACATTAGGAAACTCTACCACTCCTTGCCTCGATGAATTCAAGCATGTATTGCTGCCAGGGGCGGGCGGTTCGACCAACTACTAATTTGAACACTCAATGGGCGATTGTGAACCGTGAACAGGTACTATGACCTTGATTTTTTAATAATTTTATTATCGGTGTATGAGCTATACACATATTCAGTTTCATCAAAAACAACCACTTCCTTCATGGTGCTTCGATTTTTTTTGCAAAAGAGTGTATATTGATTGGGCCTAGCAAATTTTTGAAACATCTAATTTTAATTAATACTGGGTATAGAGATGCAGAAATAAAATTGCCACTTTTTCTACACTCTGAGCAAGTTCGAGGGTAGCTACAGAAAGTACTGGACCATTAGTGGTGTAGCAAGGACGGAGGTCAAAGAGGTCTATCATGCCCCGGGCGCCGCTGGCAGAGGGGAGCCAAATGATCCCCAAGACAAACAAGAATTTTGTTTTCCGAAAAATTATAATTTTCCGAAAAATTATAATTTTTAGTTTGATCGATTTCTAGAAAACATATTTTAAGCTAATAATTATTGTAACATAACTAATTATATCCTTTCTGGAATTGTCTGATAAAATGTATTATAAATAATGTATGCAGTAAATCAATCCAATATCTACAGATATAGTACGTTCTTTCTTCTTTCTTTCTGAACACTTTAGAAAAGTAAAGTGTTTAGAAAGAAAGAAGAAAGAACGTACTATATAAGTAGCGATAGATTTTTATTTTTTAAATGAAATGTATATACGGTTCACTCTTTTTATTTTAAAATGATAACGATAGACTGTAGTCTTTTATTGTACAAGCCCTTCGAACATGGACTATTATTATTTGGCGGCCGAGTTATAACTAGAGATATCTTTGTTATGCATTTACATTTTTAACATCTACTTGACGATTCTATTATTCAGTGAACAGTGCGGGAGTGAAACTGATAACCACATTAAAATAATTAAATATTCAATGAAACAACTGAAGAGCCAGACAATATTTAAATTTTATTATTATATTGTTTGCAACTGGTAATAAAGAAAGTTCTCCTTTTTTATATTTTATTTAATGTTATTTTGTTGTTCAAAAGTAATATCTTAATTTATATAATAAAAATTTATTTTTTATTTAGACGATGGCAGTGCCAGAAAAAAAAAAAAAAAAAAAAAAAAAAAAAACTTAGCGATTCTCAGAATCGAAAAAGAAAACTCATATTGAAAACCTAGCGCTACAAGATGGTACAAATGTCGGAAATCTATTACCTTTACTTAAACTTGTAGCTCAGTTTGATCCACTACTAGCAAATGATCTTAAAAATGTCGTGGACACGCCAGGAACTATCTCATACCTATCACCACAAATTTAAAATGAATTTATTCGTCCTCTGGCATCCATAGTTCGGAATCAACTAATAAGAGACATCAAAAGAGATAAATATTATGGACTTTTATTAGTCTCGACTCCTGATATTGTTCATCCAGAACAAATGTCGCAAGTCTTTAGGTAGATAATTAATGATTTTAGCAATAGAAAAGTTTCCATCAAAGAATTTTTGGGGGTATTTAATGAAATGCGTGCAAAAGATTCATGCAGCCTGAACTGAAAATACAATTTTAGAAAAATTAAATTCCGATCAGATTTCATTAACAATCACAATGTTATAGTAATGCTGCCTTGATGTCAGGTCGCATATCTGGCGTTCAACGAAGAATTATGGGAAAAAAATGAAGCATTATTTGTAAATTGCAATAACCACTTGTTAAATTTAGTAGAAGTTACTGCATCTAAACAAGACCCAGTCGTTATAACATGTTTTGGAATAATTGAAAACATATAAGTGTTTTCCTCGCGTTCAACATTACTGTGGGAATTATTAAAAATTGCTTTATACGAGATTATTTTTGCTCGTAGAAAGCAGTTAATAGTGAATTTGAACCTTGATGGAGTGTCAGAGAATAAGCGCTTAGTGTTATTGTCGATGGGCTGGAAGAATTAGTAGAACTATCAGAAAATAATAGCAGAGGACAGTACTACCACAAGTGAAGCTATAATTTTATTGCAAAATGTACTGCATTTTAATTTCATAACATTAGTCCATTTCTGGTATTAACTTTGGACGAGAACTAATCGTGTGCAGCTCAGATTAGAAGATACTAATATGAATTTTAGAGATATCTATGATCTTGAATCATTAGCGTCTGGGAACTTGCAGAAATTTCAGACGAGATCTGTGAAGAAGAAACAGAAAAGTCTCTTTGTGAAAAATGGAGTACTGATACAATAATCCGTGTTAGAAGACGCCGAAAATAGCCTAGAGAATTGGCTAGAGATGTTGGCCTTTCCGCACAAAGTGAAATTTCTTGTATTATGAAAAGCATTCTTGATCGTATGCAGCAGGAAATAAGTACATGATTTATACGACTAAGTGAACTTAACTTCAAATTTTGATATTTACTGAATGCTTAAAATTTATTAAACAAGCATAATGTTGATAATGAACTTAGAAAGAATTATACAAATTTGGGTGAATTTTATAATACAGATTTTAATGGAAGAGAACTCTATGTCGAAGTATGTGATGCAAGATGTTTCTCCGCAGTAGAAAAGAAAATGAGTCTAAGACTTCATTAGAGCTTCTTTACCTTTAAAATCTAGTGTGGAGAAGATGTTTTTCTAAATTTGAGAGTCACATTTCAAATAATCCTTACTATTTCAGTATCAGTTGCTAGCTGTGAACGGTCGTTCAACAAATTAAAATTAATTTTGACATATCCACGATCAACGACGGATCAAGATCGCCTGAGCGACCTAGCATTTTTAAGTGCGGAAAGAGAAAAATTTGAAATGATCGACTTTGATAAAGTTATAGAGTCTCATATTCTTACGTACATGAACTAAAGAGCTCTAAAAGAATGTATGAGGAATTATCCCCAGGTCTTAATTACAACAGAAAGTCAGAAGAAGGGTGTAAAGAAAACCTTTATTTACTCAATGTAATTTAACAGGAGGCTCCACTTGAGCTTGCACAAGGCCAACACTTCTGGCTTAGCTCAAAACAGGTAACGATGAACTTAAAATAACATTTAGTAAATTTAGCCTAACGTCTCACAGGATAGTTTAATGTGCAAGAAGGCTCTGACACGTAAAAGTCGGCAGAAACAAGATCAATGGCTAGAAGCACTCAATGCCACAACAATCTAATAGCTAGTAATTCAAAATTGCAACGTGGCCTTCAAGCAGGCATAACACGCTCTCTCTAACTAAAATCAGTTCCAAAACCTTCCCTTAAATAGTATTTCTTTCTCCCTCATCTGAATAAATGCGAGCTAGCTTATTAACATTCTGGCAAGAAAGCGTGGGTGAAAATGAGACTGAAAGGAAAGCTGCTTTAACTAATTAACTGTCAGTTAAAGAAAATAAATCTCCACAAAGTAATTGATAAATTTTATTCATCCAAGGCAAGAAATTGTATACATAGTAATTAATTGTATTAATGTGTTATTATATTATATTATTACTATTGTTCATAAATATATCTGCTTATATATAACATGTGTTAACTTTTTTCATTGTTTAAAAGGTGTATATTTTTAGAACAATTATATAAATATATAAAATAATAATCTATTTTAAACTAATTCTAGATGACTGTATGTCCGATTTTTCCACTGACACAGACACATTTCCAAATCCAATCCTAGGCTTGATTTTTTAGCTAGGTGTTTTGTCTCATATTTAAAGCCTAACCTGAGTCTGCATCCCTATTTATCCGAAAAACAGTATACTGCTTTGTAGAAACGTAGTTAGGTAGTGACTATTCGTAATATTCTATAGGGTATTTTAAGGTAGGTACTGCATTTTATTATTATTTGTATCATATTCTTATTACGAGTATATCCTATATATTATATTACTATATGTTTTTCGGGAACACGAAAAAAGGTATCGTGCCCCAAGCGCCAGTTAGACTCGCTGCGCCACTGCGGGTTATCCAAGCTACTGTGTATTATGCTCTGAGTTTAACGCAATGTTTATTAGAAAGACAACAGTTTTAACCACACATTTTTTCTTTTAATTACATATTTATTTAAAACAAAAGCATCCTTTATCTATCTGCTTGTCAGTATTATTTGCCTGTATATGAGCTGAACGAATAGCAATGTACGATATATTTTTATAGGTTCCTAAAAAAATAGTATTTTAAAATTTGAGGTAGATTTATGACTTGTAAAATGAATTTCTACAAGTTTTTATCTCTACGTAAAGTTAAAAAACCGCAAGCCAAACTAAAGTTAATTGGGTACTGTTTTCTAACAATTACTTCTAATTTTGGTTACTTCTTATAACAATTTTTGTTTTGCTTATTCTTTATAAACTTTAATATTTATTTTACTAAAGCAAGTTTTATGTATCTAAAATAAAACTGGTTAAGTTTTAAAAAGTTTTAAGTAAGCTTTCAATGTCTTAAGAACTTTTTGTTTATTAAAGACGCCAATTTCAAGTAATTTTTAATTTATCACTTAGCATATTCATTTCATTCGAACAGAATGAAAATAAAGACTGATGCTCATCTTAAATCTTTTATGAAAGTGGCAAAGGAAAATTATAAAAGTAATAAATAACAACAAAATAATAATAATAAAAATTTGACTGGGTGATTCCCGGAGATTGCTTGTTAAAAGGTGTTTCTGCTATTCGGTGTTATGCGCAGTGACTGGGAAAAAGTCGGCTTTTCCTGCGCCGTACGGTCACAGACAGGTATCTGACTGCGCATGTGCCGCCCACACACACGCCGATCTTTCAAAATCGATCGACTGCTAGTGTCAAGAGCCAAAATCTTTCCGACTAATATTAAGCCGGCAGTTAAGTTTTTCTGCATACTGAAAAAATTCATCGGACAAGAACTACAGCAATCATGACTTGGTGCAAAACGGTAAGTTTAATAACCAAATTCTGTATAATTTTCAAAGCTAAGCATAGATTTCAGTTCTGCGCACAATTTTCTGAAGAAATAAATCACACTGTGCATGTCCTTCTTACGACCCGGCATCAGAAGTTGTTTCCACTTGCATTGTTTCATTTATTGCACATGCTCGTATGACTTTAATCATTAACAATTTCGTTTTCCCGAAATTTCATTAACACTTAGTTATCCATTAGTCAGTTCGCAGCTTATCCCTTTCATTGCCACATTTGAAAATATTAATAATATTATATTTTTTCATTATATTGCACGTCATCTTTCATAACTTGCGCAGTTTTGAGGTTATTAAATTAGTTTGCAAAATGTAAAACCGGTAGTTTAGTTGTTTTTCTCTATGTTTTTATAATTTAAATATTGTTTTCAGCTTTTGATTAATGTTTTTTAAATATAAAATGATTAAATTTGCGATTTAATCATTTTATATTTAGTTTTATTATCAGTTTCGGTGATGCGATATAGTTTCACAATTATTCATTTCATAAACTATTTAGTTCTAAATGCAACAAAATGTGCAAGTCAAAAAAAACTGAACTATGGTATGCAGTCGTTCATTTATTTACAAAAAAACTATTTTAAATGATAATTCGATAATGTTTGTGTAAAAAGATGTATTTGGAATAGCAAATTTGAATTATCAAGTTCTTTATCCCTTTCTTATTCGAGTTATTTCTAAATTATTATTGACTGATATTAATTCAGAAAAAAATATTCTTTTAACTTTACAGTAATTTGAAATTCTTTGCAACTTCCTGTTATATTTAAAGGGCGTTAAAAGTTTTCAAATAATATAAGCGATTAAAATTACTCTTATACCTGATACAGATGCTCTTTAGATTATTTTATGGAGTCAGTTCCAAATGAATGGAATAAAGAGCGGCGTAACGCTGCGTTCCAGTTAAAGAGCTATTCCTTTTATTCGAAGGGTGGTATTAAAAATAGAAGAGAGTTAGTTTGACATTTTCTAAGGCTATAAAGATTTATTAAAATAAAATTAATAGAAAATGCTTTCACTTTCATTTTTTTGCACCGAAACGAGATAACCTTTACAAATATATGTTTGTTCCTATAAATTCATTTATTTTGCTCTTTTTAAAGTAATAAAGCATTTACTTTGAAAAAATGTTGGAGCACTTAATTCATGCAATTTGAAAGCTTTAAGTTATATAATAAGTATACACTTTAACATAAGCTGTAGAAATTAGCGGAAGTAACAGAGATATTATGTTCTCTTGTTGTTAACTCTTTCTGATTAATAACATTGAAAGCCCAAATAATGCAGTTTTTAATGATTTAAATATAATTTTCATTTTTTGAAGCTATAAGGACAATTGCTGTAATATTTGTTAGATATCACTTATTACATCTTGTTTGGGTCTTCACAAAGTGGTAAAAGTCCTCGCAAATACAGTAAATTCTTGATTATTCTAGCTGATTGGGACTATACTGTTTTCGGATTATCGATTTTCAATTTCTTTTTTAAAATGATTGTTTTGTGTAAACAACTTATTCTTGAACATCGCACTTTATTTAGTTTAAATAAATGTAATTTATATTCAAGCATTATGCAGTTCACTTACGCATTGTATTATGTTGCTCAGGGAAGTGAATAAAAAAATTCATAATATCCATAACACATACACATAACTACTATTCTTTTACTATTTCGCCTTATTTTAACTATTACACAACTTTTTTCTAGCAGATGGGGTGCATGAACATTTTAAAACACTCAATTTCATTAACATTTAAATAAAATGAGTCTTAAATTATGATGAAAGCTTAGGCTACAAAATGTATCCTTTAACAACTAACGAAAAAAGAAACAGTAGTATTTTATGAATTTGAAGCAAACTCCAAGGACTAGAAGTAACACACTTAAAGAAATTAAGGCAAAAGAGGCAGCGAGTAATATGCGTTATAATAATGAAATAGGAAGAGCTAGATTTATTTCCCATGGAGTGCAATAAAACTCCCGATGAATCTCCATTTTTCCCCTCCCTCTCCTCTTATTATTATACCAAAATTCTTTTCTAATTTCATCTTTCAGACAATATATACATACTCTTAAGCTTATCAGTAGTATCTATTGATGTTTGAGATAAAAAAGTAATATGTTACGAAAGCAAATGTGGAAAAAAAACAGGTATGCTTCACATTTTTAACGATTAAAAAGCATAAAAACTTGATTTCAGAACTTAATCTTTATACAAATTTCGGTTAACATTCAATTAAGTTGAACATACGAAATACTAAAAGCTTACTTATATGACATATTTGATATGAAACGAAATAAAATCCATCTGAAAAATAGGCTAGATTATGCATTCTACGAATAAACTGAAAATATTTAGTTTATGATGTGCATTCGAAATGACTATTTTCATTTCATTTACTTCATTAATTTATGTAAAAATTGACTTCGAATTTCAAGGGAGGGTAAATTTTAAATTTTTTTATAAAAAGCAACTTTAATAAACTTCGAAGAAAGACTCCGTGGTCAAAAACAAAAAGTATTTTTCTCATGATAAACAAGGTTATCGTCATTAGTAAAGAGTCAAATAATTTTTTTAATTAAAGCTACGAGTAAATAAATGTTTCTATTTTACGAAAGCTGGTGTTAGTCTCTTGACATGATTTCTTTTTTATTTTACGTTTGTAATTTGGTAACATGTCGAGAGGAAACGTGGCTAGGAAGTATCCACTAGACTTCTTCTCATCCATTTGATATTTTAAACCATCTTTATTGCCGTATTTTTACTTTAGTAAACTTCTTAAAAATCGAGGGAAAAAAATTATGCCATGAATAATCATTTTTGAGGGAAGGTGATAATGAAAGAACATGACAAATTAAAATGCCGGTATGTGCTAATACTATTATGTTCTACATTTCGAAGAAGTGTGTTAAAATTATTACTTCCATTATTACCTTTTTCCTTACATTTTATTCATTGTTATTCGTCCATACTTAACATGTGAGTATCATAAATCATAAATTTTGGTTTGGTTTGGTATATGTAATTACGTCAAAGCTTCGTGAGGTATCTGCCTAATTAGAGGGATACCTTCGTGGAGGACTTTCTAAGGGAAACAAGCTCGTATACACGTTACACATGAGGAAAACCACGAAAACGCCCATGCAGCCAGCCAGTTCGTGGGATTCGAACCTCGGACCGAACTAACAGTGTTCAGTAACTTTTCTGCTTGGCCGCTGGTGGACACAGAAATATTGGAGAAAGTTAGCTGTTAAATTGCTAGATGATGACATTAGAGAAAGCTAGATGTAAAACCGTAAAAGAGAAAAATATGTCTATAGATAAGTCTTCTATTTAAAAGGTGCAGTTTTGAAAAAAATCAGTTTAATGTTGCATATAAATACTAAAGGCTTTTTCAAATGAATTTTTACATTACCAGTGTAGGATCATTTGTTTCCTGATTAGGATATATATATATACATTTTTAAGCAGCAGTGGTAGATTATTAAAAACATGACTTGAATGATAACCATTTTTGGATACGTTTAGAGTGCACAAATTGAGTAGAATACAAGTAGAAGATTTTATTTTATGTAACCAACGATATTTTAACGCAAATAGATACAAGAAACGTAAGATATATAATCAGTTTTAAAAATATTTATTTTTAAATTTTAGCAAGTTTGGCATACATATTACCCTTAATGTTGCGATATTTTTAACAACAATTCTCAGTGACTATTCATTTGAAGAAAGTCAAGAATTAATCGATCTCGGGGAGAGGAATCCTAAAAGAGGAAGAGAAAATCAAACAATTCTCACAAATACTATCATTTATGAAAAGACTAGTTCTTGTGTATAGTAACTATGTTAATTCATTTTGAAGGTATAGTCTACCATTTTTGATCCATTATACCCTTACAAATAATACAGGCATGGTTAGAAGTGAAATCAATAAGATATAGTGAGAAAGTGAAGTTAAAAAATTGAGATTTTTATGATGATAATATCCTGGTAATCAGTTCAACACTACAAAGAAAAATGAAGACCTTTTGATGTTATTGCAACCGAAGATTAATGAGATATCTGCTGATTCTTTCCTAAAATGCTCTGAAGCTTTAAAAAAAATTGTGCACACTATACTATCTTCGCAACACGTTTTAAAATATCTCAGAATAATACAAAAGTATACTGAGAGATCCATAAGTTACGGTGAATATTTTTATACATTATTTATGCTCTTTATTAAATCAGTAAATATTGCGAAAGAAATTATTTTACTTTTTTATCACAAAGATTTCACCGTAACTTATTACTAGAAAAGGTAATCATGCTTAAAGGAATTATTCCGTTTCATAAAAAAGTACAGGCATTTAGCTCTAATTTAAAATCTTAATATCAGCTTTACTCAGTCTAATGGCTTAGATAAAGTTGTCAAGGCAAATACCGTCAGCACAAGAACAAAATTTACAGAAGACTTAACGAGTAATAATTCAACTTTTATCCTTGCTGTCATTCGTAAATAAAAATTAATTATATCACTAACTTAAGATTCGATAGCTTGCATAAAATTACAATAGCTGTCGACTATATCACTGAAACTGTTTAGTCAGCTAAACAGCTTAACTTAACTACAAAAATTCTGTTTCATCATTCGTTTACCAAAACAGTGGTCACTAACTAATCTATAGAAGCCTATTTTATTTATATTTGTAGTTGCACAGAATAAGCCAAAGGCTTTAAGTCAATTGCACGTTTTTTAGAAATTGGACAGAAATATTTCTCATAATCTATTGTAGAGACTTTTTTTTTTGGAAGCAGGAATGGATGAAAAATAGCAAACACCTTCGCCGGGAATCGAACCACGGACCTCTGAAATACCGGCTCAGTGTGCTGACCACTACACCACGAAGGCACGCTAGGATGCGAAGAAATACCTTATACTATAAATAAAAGTTTCTATTCCTTTTTGTAAAA